AGCACTACTTGAAATGCAATGACAAATTCATTGAAAAACGCGGGAATGAAAAGAGTAACCCACTCTCCTTCTCTCCCAAAGGAATAGCTTCGATACATAGATGAACATATGTTCACGATGTTCACTCTCGTGTGAAAATTGAAAAAGAAGTGTTGCTAGATAATTTAAAAAATTAACTATTCATATTATACATAACAAAAAAAATACTGAGATACTTTCCATCGACTAAGAAGACAGTTTTTGAAGGATTTTAAACTGTCTACGTAATTTCTGATAGATAATTTCTGATAGATATCTGATCATTTGATCAGGTTTTCTCTAATGTGGTATCAAAAACATGGAATTTTTAAAATAATATTAATTTTTATTTAAATCACTGGTAAATTCTATCAGAAAGTGAATTCCAGTTAGGTACGTTGGTCATGATCGATCAGAAAGTGTTCCAGGGATATTCAGGAATAATTTCTGATAGATATCTGATCATTTGATCAGGTTTTCTCTAATGTGGTATCAAAAACATGGGATTATTAAAATAATATTAATTTTTATTTAAATCACTGGTAAATTCTATCAGGAAGTGAATTCCAGTTAGGTACGTTGGTCATGATCGATCAGAAAGTGTTCCAGGGATATTCAGGAATAATTTCTGATAGATATCTGATCATTTGATCAGGTTTTCTCTAATGTGGTATCAAAAACATGGGATTATTAAAATAATATTAATTTTATTTAAATTACTGGCAAATTCTATCAGGAAGTGAATTCCAGTTAGGTACGTTGGTCATGATCGATCAGAAAGTGTTCCAGGGATATTCAGGAATAATTTCTGATAGATATCTGATCATTTGATCAGGTTTTCTCTAATGTGGTATCAAAAACATGGAATTTTTAAAATAATATTAATTTTTATTTAAATCACTGGTAAATTCTATCAGAAAGTGAATTCCAGTTAGGTACGTTGGTCATGATCGATCAGAAAGTGTTCCAGGGATATTCAGGAATAACTTCTGATAGATATCTGATCATTTGATCAGGTTTTCTCTAATGTGGTATCAAAAACATGGAATTTTTAAAATAATATTAATTTTTATTTAAATCACTGGTAAATTCTATCAGGAAGTGAATTCCAGTTAGGTACGTTGGTCATGATCGATCAGAAAGTGTTCCAGGGATATTCAGGAATAATTTCTGATAGATATCTGATCATTTGATCAGGTTTTCTCTAATGTGGTATCAAAAACATGGAATTTTTAAAATAATATTAATTTTTATTTAAATCACTGGTAAATTCTATCAGAAAGTGAATTCCAGTTAGGTACGTTGGTCATGATCGATCAGAAAGTGTTCCAGGGATATTCAGGAATAATTTCTGATAGATAACTGATCATTTGATCAGGTTTTCTCTAATGTGGTATCAAAAACATGGAATTTTTAAAATAATATTAATTTTTATTTAAATCACTGGTAAATTCTATCAGGAAGTGAATTCCAGTTAGGTACGTTGGTCTTGATCGATCAGAAAGTGTTCCAGGGATATTCAGGAATAATTTCTGATAGATATCTGATCATTTGATCAGGTTTTCTCTAATGTGTTATCAAAAACATGGAATTTTTAAAATAATATTAATTTTTATTTAAATCACTAGTAAATTCTATCAGAAAGTGAATTCCAGTTAGGTACGTTGGTCATGATCGATCAGAAAGTGTTCCAAGGATATTCAGGAATAATTTCTGATAGATATCTGATCATTTGATCAGGTTTTCTCTAATGTGTTGTCAAAAACATGGAATTTTTAAAATAATATTAATTTTTATTTAAATCACTGGTAAATTCTATCAGAAAGTGAATTTCAGCTAGGTACGTTGGTCATGACCGATCAGAAAGTTATCAAGGCATTCTTATGATGGAGTTTTCCAAGCAGCACCGTGCGTCTCCATAATTATTGATGAAAGTAACGGTTTTGTTCGAAATTAGTATATTTTTAAGGGTTGCAAATAAAAAAAAACTGTTTTTGGTCCTCAAATAGGCTAGACTGCACTTAAGTATAATGTTTTTTATATGAAATCGGGCTAAAATTTTCCAAGAAATCCAATTCCGTGGTCAGAATTCATATATAAAGCGATTTAAAAAGTTTTGTATAAGCATTTAAGTGAAATTAAGAGGTACGTTAAAAATTAATTACAGATTCGTAAAGTACGCATTTGGTACGTCACATTTCCGTAGAAATCTGGTCGATCGACTTGGTCATTGCTGAAATCGTATGTCTATCCAGCGGGACACGGGTTTTCCAAGAAGCTTTGAGGTACGTTCAAAATCCTTGAAGGTACGCTATGGTACGCTATTGGTACATTCCAAAACACGTATCAACTTTGAAATTCATTAAGTTTGTCCCGCTGGATAGATTGACGTGGCATTTGTTGATGTTTCATTGACGAAGAAATTGGAGAAAATCTTTTCTCGATTGATCGACGCATCCCGAAATTACGGATCATGGAACTTGAGAAAAGAAAATTAATTGTGCACAAACATCTAGAGAACCCTTCGTGGTCTACCTCAAAAATAGTAAAAGCACTAAAATTCCCAAAGTCAACGGTGAGTCTTGTAATCAAACGTTACAAGGATGCTCTGAGTGTGATCATAAAAGTGGCATTAGGGACAAAGATCTGAGGAGAAAGGTGTTGAGGTACGTGAAAAGCAACCCAGGTGTCTCTATACGTGATTTGGCAAAACAATATGATTCCAACTTTTCCACCGTGCCAAACATCTTTTCAAGAGAAGGATATAAGTCTTTTTGTGCCAGTAAACATCCGAATCGCTCCCTTAAACAAAATTTAGTGGCCAAAAAGCGATCACGATTACTATACGAACGAGTTTTGACGAAATTTGATGGCTGTATTTTAATGGATAACGAAACATATGTCAAAATGGATTATAAACAAATCCTTGGACGAAAATTTTACCTGGCAACTGGTCGTGGGGATGTCCCTTCCAGGTATAAATTTGTTTTTGCTCATAAGTTTGCTCGGAAACTAATGATTTGGCAAGGAATCTGCAGTTGTGGCCGTAAAACCAAGGTTTTCATCACATCTCACACAATGACGTCGAAGGTTTACATTAAAGAGAGTCTGAAAAAGCGGATTTTACCCTTCATTCGGCAACACAAGACCAACGTTATGTTTTGGCCGGATCTAACCACTACTCTAAGGAGGTACTAGAATGGTATGCTGCAAACAATGTTAATTTCGTCGCCAAAGAGATTAATCCTCCGAATTGTCCTGAGTTCAGACCGATCGAAAAATATTGGGCAATTATCAAGCGAAAACTTCGAGGATGCGGTAAAGAAGTGACAAATTCACAACAAATGCGTTTAAAGTGGAATAAGTTCGCCGGTACAGTGCCACCAGCGACTGTGCAGATCATGATGGCATCGATCACAAGTAAAGTGAGACAGTTCGTTCGAAACGGTGAAATGTAATAACTTGTTTTATATCGTTTGAAAGCTGAATGAATACCCTTTTGTTTGACGTTTTGATCAACCGTGTATGTTGTTTAATTCTTGAGTTATGATCACTTGAATGCGTCCAAATTTACTTTGAATCGGGCTTTATGTTTTGACTTAATTATTAAATCATATCATATGAATCTGAAAGAAACAACTACAATTGAATTATAATGCGAAATTTGTGTTTTACTTAAGTTTTGATGTGTCCGGATTATTGTGGATACAGACCTTACTACAATGTGATGAAAAAGAATAGCTGAGAAACGAACATTGAACGGTGTAGTGATGAACATCACTACAATGATGAACTTCACCCCATTACACGGTATTTGTTGTAATTGAATGAATTTGGTATGCATTAGTTATTGGGAAATTCGTAACGTGTAATGGGTAGATTTGGCAAGTTTATAAGCACACTTCAGAGGTAAAGCACAGCTCTGTTTTACCCGTTTTAGCGCATTCGATAAATAACTGATGTGGATTCCCTGGCTATACGGTTAATGAGGTCACCAGTTGCTTAAGCACATAGTGAGTGTGCCACATAGTGAGGGATCGACTCCCGCTGTAGCTGGACGATCTTTTCGTCTAAGGAAAATTTTGGTCTACAGCATGTGTGATGGCAGCGAATCTAAAGCAACCAAAGATACACACAAAACTGTTGTTACGACTCCCATGACAAACTCGCTCTGTAACATAGCTCGATCGGAGTGGTAGAAGGATAATGATATATTGCTTGCCTGCTTTATTGCAATATACACGGATGAGGACATAGGTTGATAGGTCGCACGGGCTGCTTATCATGAACAAGAAGGAAGAAGATTATATCATTATTGCTTTCCACTTCTGACATAGCGTTATCATTTGTTTCGTTGATCGCTTGTCATTTTGTCATTTGGATATATTTTTGATTCCTTGGTGATGTGTGTTGTCCGGTGTTAAGTGCAGAGTTGTGGTTGGATACGTTTCCAGTTGTATTTTCAAACAGATGAACTTTCATTTTTTTTTTAAATGTAGATATGTCGAGGTCAATGAATTCTAGTGTTAGCATAGACAGTTTTTAGTTTATATTGATAACGACCTCCTACAATCGCTCTCTGGTAATGGTTATTTGGCAAATCAGGCATGTACAGACAGATGAACACACAGGAATTCTTTTATACTTTATTGCTTTTATTAATCTTCAAGGCAACAGAGCTTCGTAATTCGTAGGCTGTCATCGACATGATGTGACGTAATTCTTCATTTTTTACATTTTACGTTTCTATCCTTACTCCATCGATGTTTGACACATTGAAATAAATTAGTTTTCTTTACGCTCCAAATAACAAAATTTGTTTACAAATAGTCTATACAGTGATGATAAAAACTTGAGCAAACTTCACTATAATTGATTTTTCTCGAATTTTTTTTTTTTAGTTTAGTTTTGGTTGCAATCCAGCCCGGATTTAAAAAGGAAGTTTGCCCGTCGTTGTTGGTATGGCTGCAGGTCTAGATAGATTTCAACATCAAATAAATTGACAGCAGTGTGTAGTAATACTTACAATTTTTAACCGCCTAGAGGTCATTATGTACACAATTTTACAACGTTATTTTTTTTGGCTCTAGTTTATCAATTTGCTTACTTTTTTGCTTCCTTGCGGAATTCGAATATGGCCGTATTTTGCGTGATTTTTTTTTAGTTGTAATTATCTCCTACAGAAAATGTGGTAACAATCATTTAAACCGTCATCAATTGTGTTGTTGTTGTTGTGGTGGTGTTGGTGGATCAGTTTTGTAGTAGTGGTAGTGAATGTGGTTTAGAAAGAGCCAGATCGCAAATTTCTAGCGAGAAAAGATGAAAGCTACCGACACCCTAGGCAAAAAGTTAAAAGTACGCTCATTTGTGCAATGTTCCTACCTCTCTGCTGGTTTATCGTTTTCTCGCTTCGATCTGTTTAAATGCGGATTTCGCGTGTGCAGGTTGCCTTTTTTTGGGAAAGTAGGATAAGCGTATTGCACCAAACACCACCCAGGGGTTGCTTCAGTAGTTAGGTGTTGAAGAAAATGGGATATTTGCACTTTTTTGCTTGAATTTGGAACGAAAATTGCGTTGGTATCATTAAAAAGGGAATTGCGGAATAAAAAAAAAAAAAAAAGTACAAATAGATCTGCCATTCGGTGAGGGGAAGCGTAGCGCTGTTGGGTTCCTGTTGTGTCGCTAAATCAAATCGGTCAAAATGGATCGTTTTTGGTGGTGAACGGTAGGGGAAGGGAATTGTTGGAAGGACAATATAGGGGATAGTCGTTTCGTTTGATTTGTTCATCTACTACCGGGTGTGATAGAGGGAGAGAGAGATCGGTACTAGAGTTTAGGAACGCCTGCTTGAAGTGTGTTGTAGAGAGCATAAACGATTGGGCGAAACATATAACACCAATTGTTAAAGTAAGATATTTGCTTCAGGTTTAACGGGTTTCGTGTGAAATGTGGGTAATTTTTTGACGTGTACTAAACGGAATAAATTTTGCTAAGAATTCGTTGGTCTACTAAGCCTAGTGTTTAAGTGAGTAAAGAGTGAGTATCGGTTGTTTGGTCGAACGGTTTGATCATCAAATCATTTTGTATCCTGTTAGCTGAATTGATTTATCCATGATTTGGAATGTTTTCTTCGAGCTATAAATATTTGGCTTACGGTATAGTAAATTTTTTAGCATTAATCAGTAATAAATAGTATTTTTACACATTATACACAAATTTGTACTATAAATTCATAATTATAAAAAGAAAAGAATCTTTTTCAAATAATATACAAGAAAACATGACTCGTTCTCCATTATTTACAAGTTGAAAAAGGATGCTATTAGATACTTTTCTTCCTTAGCACGGTCGTTGAAACAAAGTTGACTAAAGCTAATTTTTGGCATTCGGTTTCTAAACGATAAAAGAAAAAAGAAAAAGAAAAACGAAATTCGCGCCGGGGCAGTCACATCAAGCGACTGCGCCGATACCTACTAATTTAACGTGTGCCGTGAATTTGTGCTTTCGTATTCTCTAAAGATTGCAGCACACTCAATTGACTAAGAAATACTTGCGTGTCGTTTTGGGCCCGGTGAATTGGGTTCGATTGGTTCAAACGAAATGAAACAAAACTAATTTGGACGTTTTGGAATTCGGGGTGGGGGCGGTGTCGGGATCGGTTGGGGTCGGGAGTGAATGGGAAAGGGGTTTCTTTTGCTTCTCGTCTCTAATATGTTAATTCAACAATTGGTGTTATAAAGCCTATTTTAGCAATAGTAACCTCCATATCCGTAACCGTACGAGCAGTCCTGATGCTTGCTGGACGTCGTTGGGTGATAGTCGATGACTTTGTTTTCGCACTTGTTGCCCGAGAAACCCTTGGGACACCTGGAATGGAATAGAGTAGATTAGAATATTGGAATTGACAAGTCGATTGGAGAATACGCTATTCAGCCCGATTCTGTATTCCGTTCGAAGCGAATTTCCCATACATTTTGGCTTGTACATGGGAAATCCGTTTCGAAAGGAATAGAAAATAAAGATGATTGTTTTATAAGGAGTGCTTCCTGGAAAGGAATTTTCACCAGCTCAAATTATGAACGGCTAACAATTGAGGTGTAGAGTCGCAAATGCTCAGTTCCTTGCTACTTATATGTTCGGCATAAACTAAAGCAATATTTTTATTCCATAATAAATAACAACTCATAAAAGAAAAGACAAGAAAGTTGTACTAGTCTACGTTGGTTGACGAAATAAATAAATGAAATAAATAAATAAATCTTGATATTAATAATTATTAAATAATACAGGCGATAAAAAACCTTAGGTGCCCTAGAAAGTATAAGCACATTTTCAACTTGCCACCATTTCTACCTGGATGAAGTTCATCGATGTGTGTTGTTTACTTATTGCTCAAAAAGTTTGTGTGCAAAAAGTGCATTTTTTTTTACAAAATCATCAAAATGCGAGCTAGAGATGAACTAGCCTAAGGCTAAAAATCTCTTAAATAAAGAATTAAAAAAAAAAAAAAAATCAAAATGCGAGGCATTTCCCCGGAAAAGCGCAAACAGATCGTGCACAAATGGTGCACTATTCCCAACTTATCAGTAAGAAAGTTGACGAAAATGGAGGAAGTAAGTATTGGAGCAGTCCAAACCACCATCCGGAAGTTTCTGTTAGAAATTTATTTGAGCTATATGGAACTTGAAAGTTCTGTCAGTACATTATTTGAACTTTATGGAACTTGAAAGTTCTGTCGGAACTTTATCTGAATTTTATGGAACTTGAAAGTTCTGTCGGGACTTTATTCGAACTTTATGGAACTTGAAAGGTTCGGTCGGAACTTTATTTGAACTTTACGGAACTTGGAAGTGATTTTAATCGTTAAATGCGGAACTTTTGGTTACTTGGGAATTTTTATGTACACCAATGAATATTGTAACGCTGTGCGGTTTTTTGTTTTTTTTTTCTTTCTGTAAATATTTTATCGATTAAGTTCAACTAAATTTAAAATAAAATTCATTTCATTATTTAAATTTTCATTTAGATATCATTCAGTAGTGAAATATTTCGAAGTTACGCGTTATTTATGGTTAGGTGTCCTGGATAAACCTTTTGCTATAAAAAGCTCATCTTTATAGATAGTAGCTTTTATTGCACATGCTTTCGGAAGGCGCCATGAAATACTTCGCCATTCGATTAGTTTGGCGCAATTTTTGAATAAAAGAATCGTTTTTCAAAAGACAACCTTAATTTCTAAAGAAGAATGTCGTTAGGAACTTTCTTCCCCGCGAAAGGTACTCTGACTCGGCCATTTCGCTTTTGAATCGGCTGGTGAACAGAAGTGCGCGAATTAAGTTCTCGTTAAAAGTCGTTTGTGCATTTAGAATTGCCTTAAAAGGTAGTTAAACTTTAGTGAGTGGGTTTTATTTTCACAAGTTTTACTAAGACGTTTCCCTTCTTTGTACAGTGTAGCTAAGGTAGTTTTAAATTCCGAGTAGTCTGTTCGTTTTGTTTCAGTGAATTTTGTACAAAAAAGGTAATAATTGATTTAATTTTATATTGTAATTATTTAATTAATGTGAGTTCGCGTTGGATTTCCAGCGCTTTGCCCTTTTTTTGTACGGGCTGAGTGAAGTTTGCTATTCCACGGAGCGAAACTTTTCCGACGGTCGCAAATCAACCGTCGACGAGGTCCCTTTTCCGCTACAACCCCTTGTGGACCATTCTTTCCGAGAGCGTTTGAGTGCGTAGCCAAGAGTGTACTACGGTCCGGATTCAATCCAAGGAGAAGGGTGGGTTTCATTCCATCCCGGGCGGTCATAGCGGAAGCTTAGTACGCGAAGCCGTGCGGCGGTAAGTTGGCCCTCTTTTCTCTGAGGGGCGAATCTCCCGGGAAAGCACGACTACGGACGTATTAAATAAGAAGCCTTCCGTCCAGCCGCCACTCTCTCCGCAACTCTAGTTCGGCCATACTGCGCACGGGTCACCTTCATCGCTGCTCGCCATACTGCAGCTCATGTGTGTTAAGAATTAAAATCCATCATCTCTGGATCAAAATCAGACTGTTTTCATGCCGCGACCGACTTTGGATTCTGCGGTTGCTCCCCCAATGTTGCCTTAAAAATACATGGTATGTCAGATTTAAGAATATGAGATCTGACATCGAAATGATGATCTTGACAAATGTCCAAAAAATACTTTTTATCAAATTTATGGTGGTCCTGAAAAGGACCGTTTTGTCGTGATGGTTGAGTAATGCTGAGCTATTAGGATGTTTAACACGGATAAGGCTGGCGAGCTGTATGTTGTTTGGAGCGAGGGTGACGCGCTTTGCATAGAAGGCCCACAGCGACTCACGAAGATGGATCCCGATCAGTAGCGGTAAGGCTTCTTCCTCCTTCTTTGGTGAATGGACGCTCATGTGGGCTGCAGCTCACTGCTTGCGGGCAGCCTTTCGTTGTGTACAATGTTCAACGCCACGCGCCGAAAGCACTGCTGCTGCTGCTGAGGACCGACCGGTGATTGAATGAGCACCGTGCAGGGAGACCGGATGGAATTCGATTTTGAAATCTGTGTTAGGGAAAGCGCTGTTTACAGGCAATCGGTGATAATTTTGATCACTATTGCAACAGTTGGACATTTGTGTAATTTTTAGTAGTGACCTATTGAAAATTAATAAAGTGTTCAATTTAACAGATTGTCAGACACAATTTTGATACAATAAACGGATTTAGAGTTAGAATTTTTTTGAAATCTTCATATGTGGAAACACATAAGCCCTTTTCAAAAATTAGTCTTGTGTGTGTGTATTCCTTCTACCCCCCACTGGCTGGCATTGTTAATATGGAAGAACTCTCTCTACAATAGACTTCTCTGACGTTTATGAATTGCACAAGTATTAGTGCAGAACTTTGGGTGAATTCAAAGGTTTTCTTGCACTAATACTTATAATTTACCCTAAGTTCTGCACTAAAACTTGCGCATTTCACAAACGTCAGACAAGTCTATGCTGCACAGAGAAAAAATAAATACCCTAAAATTTAAGTTCTGTTTACTTAATTTTGGGTAATTTTGAGTTTTGCATCCCTCTCTCACTTTTTGTTGCTGTCAAAAATGGAACGAGAGATTCGATTTTCTCATGACTATCGTTCAATTAGCTACTAGCGAGTATATGCGATATTGAACTTAATTTTGGGTAGAAAATACTGTCGAGTAAGCAACTATTTTTGCGGTAGTCAAATGTTAACTACTTTAAGCGATTCACTGAAAATTAGTTTATTAAACGGAACATGGGAGATGAGTGAAAAGAACTTAATTTTGGGTAATTTTTCGGTTCCATGCGCATTTAAAGTAATTGTAGACAGCTTTAGTCCGGGAGTTAGAAGGTGATAGCTCTATTGCAGATCCAGCAACCCATTTCAGAATGTCTGAAGATTCACGTCCATTCCGAAGTTACTTTCACTTTCAAGTAAGCCCCGCATGTATGTATAACCTCTATCAATTGGATATTAGTATTACATACACGCTTCTTAAATCGCTGGTCCACCGAGCACTCGGAGTGAGTCATTGAATCAATGTAGAAAGTACTTGCATTTTTTCTCAGGCACTTTTGATCTAACTCCGTGAAAAAATCATAATCTCCCATACTGAAGACATGTTCAAAGTTTCATCAAAATCGAAGGGGCTCGTGCCAAGTCGTTTGCTCATTTGACAGTGAATGTTCATAAGTAACTTGGGGTGGTCCCTAAAATTAACCGAGTTTTCAATAGTAACTTTTATTTATACTTCGTAGATTTAAGATAGTGTACCACAATGCTGAATAAAGTTGTAGCACAACACTTTTGAAGCAACTTTGCTGAAGAAAGCAATTTGCTATCTCTAATAGTCCACGATTTATACATGTTTTTAATATATAATGCACAGGGCTGGTTGCAGGTCACTTTTCAGTGGCTAAGTCACTATTTTGAAGGTAGTCACTTAAAAGTTACCCTTTTCATCAAAATGTCACTAAAGTCACTATTTATTCAAATTTAGTCACTAAAGTCACTTTTTAAGACCAATATTGAGAGTAAAGAATATGCCTTTAATTAATCCTATCAAATTACAGCTTGAGACCTTAGCTGAATATATCAAAATATTTTATAATATTTTAATATTGTTGACTTTTTGTTAAAAACAAAAGTCCTATCTGTAGAACAAACATTGCTCAGCAAAGAAAGCTCTATCTTTTACACGTAATCTGGAATAAAAAGTGTCCATGCCCAGATTTAAAAAAAAATCTTTTTCCTATGAAATATTTTCTAGAAGCATTTGAATTGTTGTTGATCTGTGAACTTAATATTCAAAAGATCGACAAAAAACTTCATGGTCGCTAAAATTTTCTTAAGTTGTTTATTTTTAATATCTCGAATTTTTAAGTAACAGTATTAAAAAAATGATGGTTCAAAATCTCTAAAATAATCCCGGAATCTTAAAATGTATTTTCATGACACATGCAACATTTTCTATGCCCGTGATCATCCCATGTTGGAAAATTTTCCTCGTTCTAGAATAATGATATTTTTTATAGACTTTGCTCTTGAAAAGTTGTCTTGGTCCCAGAAGTACAGAAGATTCTTTATACTAGATCTTTAAAATTGATTGTCTTAAAATTGTCAACATTTCTCTAAGTCCGACAACTTGAATATTTTTCTGTGTATGTAAATTTTTCGTTCTAATCACCAATTCGCGATCTGAAGCTAAAATCATAGAGAGAGAGAAGGATTAGTATTTTCCATTTAATTCCACTACTTTATTTGCTTATCCTTGACAGATACGCGTATTTCGTCTACAATACGCAGACTTCTTCAGTGTCTTGTACTAATACTCGACTGAAGAAAAACATCGCATTTACCGAATATATATTAACACAGGTACATTTTCACTTAAGTTTACCTAGTTTCTAAGTGAAAATGTACCTGTATTTCTTTTCTTCTCCGCTGCTTTACAATCACAAAGGGAGAAAGGATAGCAAATTTTGAGTTTGACTTTAACCTTGTGGATTTCAGAACATCAGCGCACTGCTTTCATTGAGTGATCAAATCTCAAGCAACAATTTTGGGTTTATAAGTGTTCTTTAGACCAGGATTTAGACTTGAAGAATGCTTTAAAACTTCGATAAAACTTGCAATGTTCCTTGGGAAGAGAGCCTTGGTGTGAGTGTATTTTTTTTTGTCTTGAAGTGGGTCGTAATCACCAATAAATTGTAACAATATCTTTTGAATCAATACATGTCTGGGGGCGACCCTGGCGTAGTGGTTAGCATCCATACCTCTCATGCCAAAAGTCACGAGTTCAAATCTCACCCCCGGACAAGTCACGAATGACCCAAGAGCGTTAAAGTGACTATTATAATAAAAAAAATGTCGCTATTGGTCACTTTTTTTTTTCTTTCAACGTCACTATTTGGACACTATTTTTGTTATTTTAGTCACTAAAGTCACTACTATTGTGTCACATACCCACTACCAGTCCTGAATGCAGGGTGACTTCTAAAAATTGATTCTTCATGAGTAACTTTTTATACATTGATTTCTCGTAAACAATATGCTCTAGACACTTTTTCAAAAACTTCAGCGTACATGTTTTCCAAAGCAATTAAGGTACTATTGGTTTTTGTTGGTAACACTCGTTTACAGAATATTTGAACTTTGTACGCTGATGGTCATTTCCCATGTAAAATCGTGTGCTGAATCCAAAAATGTATTTTTGGGAAAATCTCAGTAGGACAATTATATAAAAACAGCTAAAAATAAACTTCCACTTCCTTTTTTTAGCTGTAGCTTGAAAGCTATCCTACTGAGATTTTGTTTGAAAGAATTTTTTGATTCATCGCACGTTTTTACATACGAATTATTGGTCGAACATTGAAGTTCATTTTTGTTTTACTTTTATTTGTAAACTAGTGTTATTGATCAAAATTATCTATAATCACACAAGGATGATGATAAAAGGTTAAAATTACATTATGTGTAATGTGCTTTAGTGTTGTCAAAACCTTAAAATCATCCAATCAGTTCACGGTAGATGCTTACGTATATTTTGTTTATTTTCTTAGCATTTGACAGTTCATTGCGAGTCCAATGTAACTCGAAATATTCAAAATAATGAATTGGAAAATGACCTTTGTTTATTTAACTCCATTAAAACTGCTTTCTAGTAAAAGTGATGGGGTGCTGGGCTTACCCGCACTTCCCCTACGCGCATGTACATCAAATGATTTTTTTTTAAATTAAAAGTAAATATCTTCATTTGACTGAGATGATCATCTCTAAATGTGTTTCTATGTATATATATTTACGTGCATGCCCACTCTTGGATATCCTCGAAGTGTATACAGGTGCCACCGTTCAGACAGAAGTGCTCTGCGCCCGGCCCCCGACAGGGCCGCGGATTGTACGGAGGTTCCGTCGAATGTGTCGTTTCTGAAAGTGCAAGTTAAATGGAAGATCGAAAAAAAAAATTAACTGAAAATTATGATCAACATACGCCGACGCGTGTCGTGTGCCTCAACAAGTGTGTATTTGTGTGCGCTCGTGAGAAAAAAAAGTGCTCTAACTTTGAAAAATGTTTCGTCTATTGCTGCTGCTGCGCTGAGTCACATCATATTTCATCAGGATTAATAATATCGCCTTCTTTTTCTCATTTCACACTTTTGGAGGGCATTTGCACCATATATATTTTTTTTCGAGATGCCGTTTGTTTTGATTATGACCACGGTCGGAAATTTCGACATGGGCGATGAAAAGTCTCGAGTGGAACCCATCAAATGGAGAAAACAAACCCGTGTTTACGCGGTGCAGTGTTGCACTTTTCTACCTGAAACACGTCTCAGGTGCGCAGTTCTGTATCTATTTTCATCGCCACCTGCCTGAAAAACGATCTCTGCATCCAAGGTAGAAGAGTGCAACGTCTTAGGGTGCCTCGTCGTGCGATCAACAATCATCGGAGCGGAGGTTGTTGGAGAACTTGACTTTGGATAACCTCTATCGGTCCTTCGGACTGTCCGTTTGCTTAAACGAGACACCCTAGTGCCCAGAAAGGATCGACTAAATACACGATGGATAGAAAAGTGTGGAAAATGCGTTATAATTACTTGGCTGCTTGGTGCTCGAATGTTTGGCCGCTACTCGAACGTGCGTCGAGTTGGAAATCTTGGCGTATTTATTTTTAGCTCTGCACTCGTACTCTCCAGCATCACTGGGAATCACCGAATGAATGATGAGCTCGGATCGTTTTCTGTTGGATGGAGAAAGGAAAAATAGATAAGGGCGTCCGAGAAGGGGGAAGGGCTGCAGAACAGTTCTGGAAAAGCGATGAGTTGTGAAAGTGAAATTTCTCGTTAATGGGTCTTAAAACTAAGTCGGGTAGTGATGGGTTGCTAAGTTGCCGGAGATATGGTATCTCAAGTGCGTTTATTGGGGATTGACAGTATTAAGGCAATGGTGAAGAAATTTGAACTTACTTGAGATGTACTTGAGCGTATTTCGTCACGTTCCGATTGATGGAACGCTTGTCCTTGAACCACGTGACTTTAGGTGGCGGCTCTCCCTGTACTTTGCAGACCAGACGCACCCGTTTGCCCTCCTGCTTCGTCATATTCGACGTCATGGAATAGATCTTCGGTGGTTTACCTGGAATGAAGCGAAAAATGGGTTGATTAGTATGTATAGCCAATTCGATTGAGTATTAGCATTGTTATAAAGGCGATGATTTGTTTTGACAAATCGAAGTCATAATCCGTTTAAGAATTGATCCAATTATCAAATCGCATATTTTTGCTTTTCTCGAGGGAGGGTCAAGTGTCATATATAAATCAACTCAGCTAGATGAGATTAGAAAATCACCCCTATTCTTGTTTTCGTTCGAACTATTCGTTGTTTTTTTTTATTAATTCGGACGAAAACAAGAATATGGTTGAATGTCTGAGTGTGTGTGTCACTCACTTTTCTTGACAACTGCTGAACCGGTTTTAGGGGCAAGGTCCAGTTTGTTTCTAGCTCTAGTAAAACCTAATCAATTTTCCCCGATTGTATATCTGATTAAGGAGATATGACGAAAAAAATGAACTGATTCCGGAGATACACCCATATTATTTCACCTACCGGTGACAAGCATTGCTGACAAAAATCATTTGTTCTATACTCAACTTAACTGAAAATGAAGACAACCTTAACAGATAGACCAACTACCTGCATGAAATTGAATTTTGGAATTAGGTTCTGCAGCGTGACGTCACGAATGAACTCAGTGTTAATCGGCTGAACCTTTTTGACAGTTCAGTGGTACTGTTTACAAGCAATTAGTCGTTTTTTCGAAAAAAAATATTCTAAAATTTTCGAATTTTAACTTGAAAATTGTCGAGGAACAGCGCGTTGAAAGGATGTTGCTCGTGGACATTGCAGAAGTGTGGTTTACATCTCACTATAGTCTGAAAAATTATCGAGAAAATCCACCCAAGAAAAAATCGACTAAGTCCACGTAAACAGTACCACTGAACTGTCATCAGATTGAGGTTAACCCCGACGGTGCAAAACCTAATAGACGAGTGCACGGGTGAACTTTTTTTCATCTACTGAAAAAAAATGACACAACAACGGGGCCCTCTCAACAAACAATTTGAGCTGATTAATAGCGAACAAGCCATTTTTTAGTTGAAGAAGCTTATTTTTGTCTGAATAAGCTCTTATACAACTGTCAATGTTTGTTGGGCTGTTTACTGAAAATGAACACAATAATAATGCTTGCGTAACATTTGAAAAGGGCCTATCAATTTTTGTACGTAGTGCACTTTTGTACGTAGTGACACTTTTGTCGAGTGAGTGAACTCAAATCCATCCATGCACTCGTCTATAACAACATTTTCTTGATCAAGGCAATCTCTGAGTATCAAAGTCAACATTTTTTCATTCGTGGCTGGATGTTCATTATCGCCTGTGTTGTTGTCAATATTAATATTCGTCTTCATCTTGCTGGGGATGATTTGGAGCATCAAATGTAAAAAAGTCTATTTTCATTTTACATAAATATAGCGCTGAAGAATGTGTCGTGTTGATTTTTACACATAGATCGATGGAAAATTATTGCCTCTTGCTGTATTGATGATAATATCGTACCTTATCCCAAGTTCACGTCCAACCTGTTTACAAATTGTAGTCCTTAACCTCGAGTAAGCCGTAAGTATTCGGTACACGTTCTACTAATTTTAGTCATGATAAATATTGAATGGAATGCTCTTTAAACCTTGCTATTTTACTGAGTAGCTTCTCAGATTTACTGTCTTGTCCGTGTTTTTTTTTGCGGGCATGCGTCTAGAATAAGATTTTAAAAGACGATTTCAAAGAAAAAGCTTCTTAAAAAGATTCTAAAAGACGCTTTTTTGTGGGAGTTCAGTCTAGACGTTTGCCCGTTGCCCCGCTACTTTGACTAAAAAACACGGACAGGACAGTAAATCTGAGTAACTACGCAGTAAAAGAGCAATTTTACAAAGTTTATGTACATCCAAGGTTTTTTTCTAGTTATCTAGTTAGTTTACTAATCTTCTATGAAGCTCTCTGAACTTCTAACGTAACTAGCTAATGAATAGAAGATACTGTGAAGTTTGATGAGCTTTTGAGAGGTTTTACGAGCTATATACAAATAGATTCAGCGATTTCGAAGATCCTAAAAATCTTTAAGACAGGATCTGCAAACTTTAGAGCGGTTCAGAGAGCTTCACAGACGAGCTCAAACGAGTACATACACCTTAATAAGGTCGTGAAAGATATGAGAGGTTTTAGATATTGCAGACGAGTTAGGATTCACAGAAATGTTCTGACAACTTGAGGAAGTGTCGACAAATTCAATGGTAGTGGTAAAATATCTTATATTTCGATTGATTTACGTGTTACATATGTTGTTGGATTTGGATTGATTTAGCTCCTGATCTTTGGATTTGGAATAATTATTAATGATTTCTATAAATTTTTCGTTGTTCAACTAGTTTACATTTTCCCCCTATGGGGGCATATTAGATAAATTCAATCAAACATTGAAACCATACAAAGTCAGAGCATTATTATAATGATTCAATTGTAAATTTATTTATTCGTGTCAAAGAGGTCATCGAAGTTCCTGCTGAGCGCCCATCTTTTTAACAGTTCGTCCATTATCCTTAGGAACATCTCGTTTTGCATAATCAATAGGGTCGTTCAAAATATCGAGTTTGCTCCTTGCTTGACAGTTTTATTCGGAATTACTCCACTACGTGGCGTTAGTGTGCGTGTAAAATTGAGCATTTTTGGATTTATTTTATCTCGTGATCGCGGCGACGTAGAAAGACTGAGTCTTTCGCAAAGTTGTTCGGAAGACCAAGGGCGTCTGGAAGATGGTGTTTTTTTTTATCTCGTGATCCCGACCAGCTGGAAAGTTCGAGTCGTGAGCAAAGTTGTTCAGAAGGTAATGGTTGATTCGTTTCGGAATTATGTCACTACGTAGTGCTAGTGTGCATGTAAAAATGTGAAATGTATTGGAACAGAGAAGTTTGGAATCACTTGAATATGAAGTAAATCAGACCTGAAAAGATTGGAATCACTTGAATATGAAGTGAACCAGACCTGAACAGCTTAGACCCACCTGAATGTGAAGTGGCTCTGACCTGAAACATTTGGAATCACTTGAAAATGAAGTGACTGCAATCTGAAAAGCTTGGAATCACTTTTATATGAAGTGAACCAGACTTGAACAGTTAGGAATCACTTGAAAACACCTCCAGTCATAAGTATGGAATCGCTTAGAAAAATATTGCAACACAGACTAGCATGACCCATTTAAATTATGTTCAAAACTACTTTGGAAAGTACTGAATCAGTTCAGGAAAGTTCTGAATCGCTTCGGAATGTACTAAATCACATCAAAAGGTGTTCAGGATCATTTCAAATCTGAATAACTCCAGGAAAGTACTGAATTACTTAAGAAAAGTACAGAATCACTTCAGAAAGTATTGAATCATTTCTGGATAGTTTGAAATAACTTCATAATGTACTAAATTACTTCTGAAAAAATTTCAATCATTTTGGAAAGCACTGATTCACTTCAGAAGAGTTTTGAATCACTTTGAAAAATGTTGAATCGATTCAGCAAAATTTAGAATCGCTTCTGAAAGTACTGAATCCCTTCAGAAATGTTGGAGTCACTTCGGAAAAGATTGGAATTATTTCAGAATTTTTTGAAGAGTTTGAAATCACTTCCGCAAGTACTGATTCACTTCGAATAGAAATGAATCACTTAAGATAAGTTTAGAGTCACTTCAGAAAGTTTGAATCACTTCAGAAAAGTTCGGAATCACTACGGAAAGTATTGAATCATTTCTGGATAGTTTGGAATAACTTCATAAACTACTGAATCACTTCAGAAAAGATTTTAATCATTTCGGAAGGCTTAATAAAGGTTTTGAATCACGTCGGAAAGTGTTGAATCGATTCAGCAAAATTTAGAATCACTTAAGAAAGTACTGAATCTCTTCAAAAATGTCGGAGTCATTTCAGAAAAGATTGGAATTATTTCAATATTTTCTGAAGAGGTACAAATCGCTTCCGCAAGTACTGATTCACTTCGAATAGTAATTAATAACTAAAGAAAAATTTGAAACCCTTCATAAATGTTCGGTATCACTTCTGAAAGTACTGAATTACTTTGGAAATTTTGGAATCACTTTGGAAAGAATTGAATTATTCCAAAAAAGTTTGTTATCACTTCCGCAAGAACTGCATCACTTTGGAAAGCACTGAATAATTTAAGAAGAGAACTGAAGAACTAATTAACTTCAGAATAGTTCAAAAACTTTGGAAGGTACTTCATACGATTTCGTAATTACTTCGGATAGTACTCAATCATTTCATAAAAGTTTGAAATCACTACTGCAAGTACTAAATCACTTCAGAAAGTACTGAATCATTTCAGAAAAATTTGGAATAATTTCATAAAGTCCTTAATTTTTTCAGAAAAAAAAATTGGAAACACTTCGAAAAGTATTGAATTGCTTCATACAAGTTCGGAATCACTTAAAAAAGTACTGCATCACTACAGAAAAGTTCGGAATCAATTCAGAAAGCACATAATTGCTATAGAAATTTTGGAATCATTTTGGAAAGTATTGAATCTTTCAAACAAAAATGTGTTATCACTTCCGCAAGTACTGAATCATTTCGGAAAAGTTTGGAATCACTTCAAATAGTAGTGAATAATTTCAGAAAAGATCTGAATCACTTCAGAAAGTAGTTATTCAACTTAAAAAATATTGCAATCACTTCCGCAAGCACTGAATCACTTCAGAAAATATTGAATCGCTTCAGAATTTTCTTAACCATTTCAGAAAGTTTGCAATCAATTATACATGTGCACTAGCACCACGTAGTGACAGAAATCCGAACCAATGTCCACCTTCCGAACGCTTTTGGTTTTCTGAACTACTTTGGTGAATACTAAAACTTCCAAGGTGGTCGGGATCACCAGATAAAACAAATCTAAAAAAAGCTAAATGTTTCATGCACATTTGAAATCCGAACATATTTAACTGTCTCCCTTTCAGACGCCCTTGGCCTTCTGAATAACTAAGAATCTTTACTCATTTTAATCTACCTTGAACAGTTGGTGG